CAGCTATAGATTTGAAAGCCACGACAGCCAGACGAACACGACTATAGTGGAACACGCCATTTATAATAATTATTTTTCGAGCTGAAAAGAATCTAGTTAGTTACACATGGCTCGATCCCTCGATCAGTGTTTAGTGTATTACATTAAGCATAATTCTTTGCTCTCTAAAACAAGACCAACCGCTTGTCAATCAGATACTCCTAGGCTGAGATATTGGCTCCTAAACCTCCTCCCACATGCCTCACGCCGCTCGCATCCCGGTTCATTCAGCTACGTCAACGCCCTAGCATTTTGGCTATCGCGTTTCCGTCACCGCTTGGAGCGCTGATATTTTGATGTCACATGCCAAATTTGGTACTCTTACTACACCAATATAGTAACTGAGGCTGCGTTGTAAAGACTAATTTAGAAAACATTGCCGGCTCCATCATGACGGGCAATTAGCCGTGCTAGGAAGATAATGGGAGATAAGGCATAGGCGATGCCGCCGAAGTCACTATATGTAACCGAAAAGCCGTTCATTCATAAAGTTATCGCGGAAAAACACGAACTTTTCACTGAAGCATGCTCTAGGGGCGTTTGAAGGGGTAGCTGAATAACGCGGATGCGAGAGGCGGCGTGAGGCATGGTGGGAGGGGAGTTTAGGAGCCAATTATCTCAACCTATTGAGTATCGTATGACCAAGCGTGGTTCTTGTTTTAGAAGATCCAAGAATTCCTGCTTAATGCGAATACATAGAATTACCTTCTCAGACTCGCGCAGCGTAAAGGTGAATAATGTTGTCGTGAAATAGCACCTTTTTTCCGCGTTTTTCCGTTGTAGCACCAGGTTTATTAGCTCCTTGATTGACCATAGATTATGTTAAAGTGGCGAAACTCAGTTCTGCCATATTCATTTCGTAGATAGAAGGTAATTAACGTACCATTCTAGCGGTGTCAGTGGTTATGTAGTGTAGTGTATGCGTGTGTGGTCGTGTGTGTGTCGCGTGCGTGCGTGCGGCCGCGCGCGCGCGCGTAGTGTGTGTGTTTGGCTGTGTGTGTGTGGTGCTGTGTGTGTGTGTGTGTGTGGTGTGTGTGTGTGTTTTGCGTGGATGGATGTATTGTATGGTTAGATTGATGATGGCATGGATGTATGTTTGTATGCTGCATAACCAACTGCGTGTGCATTGCGTATGTTCAGTATTCACAAATAATTATTGAAGCTTCCGGGTGATAGGCACTTTGTAACAACTTTGTATTCTAATGGATTTGATTTTGTGTTCTCTCTTAATGCTCACGATTTTATTCATTATTAAAATTTATTGCATATGAATTCAGATACATATTACATGTACTGACGACAGTTTTTTGTTCATGGAGAAAAGATCTGATGAAAGAATGAGTTCGAGTAGGTTAAAATGGACTAAAATTCTGACGGGATACAGTAACAATTACAATGCAATACACATAAAGAAAAAAGATAAAAAAAAAATTCAAGCATATTCTTGTACTAGTAAAGTGATTACGAACAACGAATGCAGAAAAATTGATACCAGAAAAAAAAAACTTCAGAAGTCTATACAGTACAGTGTATAAAGGTAAGGCTTACACTTTAAATCATTTTGACACGTCATGTACGTGACACCATTATATGGAACTATGACATATCATTACATCTACATATTTCATTTACACATTAACACCATGAAATATAATCCATTTGTAGATAAAACTCCGCATAAACAAAATAACGGGAATTAATATTTATTGTCAGAGCATGTTTATGTCTAACTGGGCGCACATATCATGTATTGACAGTTAAACTCTGACGAATTACGAATTTCACTAAAACAAATTAGAGCAAACCCAGCTAACTTAATATTAATATGATAATATCAGGAGTCAGATAATAATCGATATTATTATTAACTATAGATCTATTAAGTCTATTATTCCTCCTGGATAATATATCGGATTGGTGCTCAGGAAATACTTATGGCCCTTGCATAAATGATCCCTGAACTAGCCAACGTTAATAATTACCTCCGTCGTCCTGCTCGCTCCTCGGGGGCGGGGGGGGGGTTAGTGTAGTGAAAGGCGGAACATACGACTGTATCTATACAGCCGTTACTGAACCTCTAACCAACTTTCCACTTTTTAATAACGGGAAATCGTTAGCACCTATCCTATAAATGGAACGTACCGCTGTACCACTGGCAGCAAGAACAAGCCCGCACGTACAGCACACGCGCAGCGACTATTATAACAACCGTTATATTAACGGCGACTATATAACAGCCGTTGTATATATAGGTCCATGGCGCGTGATTGCTGTATACGTGCGGCTTGTCTTGCTGCCACGTGCGCCTGTACCTCTAATGGACAACGGTAAAGAATCGAAATTACTTTGCAAGCTAATTATATTACCTTGATATAGCGGTTTGTGTTGTTAGGTGATTCTGACGTCGTTTAACCGGTTGTGTGTTTAAATAGTGCCGGGCAATGAACCCACCTTACCTACCCATGCCACGCTACCTACCTAAGCAACCACCCACCAAGCGGGGATGGCCAACGTACCCACCCCTTACCCACGATACTCACCTACACGCCTATCTATCTCCTACCTACCTATAACTCCGCACCTACCACCTACGCCACCTACCTACCTGGCTAGTGTAGTTATGACGGTATGTTATGCTTACTGTTCTTGACCTCAGCTACCCCACCTCTGCAACATGCACAGCTGCGCACACTGCACTGCCTGCTGGCACTGCAATGGGCATAGTGGCGACCAGCGCACTTGCTGCGTTTGATGCGTCGTAATAGAGCGCCCAATAAGAACGTGGAGTAGAGAGTTTTCAGTAGGCAAAACAGGAGCGGCATTCAGTGACATAGACTTGATGCGTTTCATGTAGCTAAGGCACTGTGTCGGAACTGTGAGTTTAATAAACGTGGAGAGAAGAGAGATTAAATCAGCAGATAATTCAGAGCTGGCAGGTCATCCAAAACTTAGAAGGAACATTGCAGTATCCAGAAAACGTTTTGGATCAGGCTTCTAGCAGCGCCTCGGACATTTGGATGATCTCAGATTCGAATGCTGGCAAGTATGGAGAATGAGACATACCACGGGAGGTGTGGATCGAGTCTACACGCCAGGTCGGAGTCATAAAACTAGTGAGAACCGTCAGACGGCCTGAGGCAAATGCTGGTTTTGTGGAGGAGGCGATACCCACATTGAGGAGTATCCGCTAAAGGAAAGACATGTAATAACTGCCAGCAAGTCAATCACTTCAGCGCAGTAGTCCACAGCAAGTGACACGTAACTACAGTCAAGGCTCTAAATCAGTCTAACAAGGCAAGGCAGCGAGGATAGTTTCAGGGAGGAAAACGCAGTCACACGTGGTAGCGAGAAACCAGGAGTCCGTCAGAGGATGAATACGTCCGAAATGGCTAGAAGTGGAGTCATTATATAAATGGGCAACCCGTAGACCATGATTGTGGACACAGGAATGGTTTCCAAGAATATAGTTGACGAATGACCATCGACTCATTGACAGGACATCACGCATCGTACAAGTAGCACATAAAGCTATACCGTATGGGATTTGAAGCCTGCTGCGCGTAGGGGAGCATTTCGAGCAGAGATAGCCAGCAAAACGGGAAAAGATTATGGAGAAATTCACGGTAGTGAAAGCGGCAAAGAAAATTTTTGCTGTGGGCTAGATTCAGACTAAGGCATTAGCACTCGTAATGCGTGTCCCAAGATGGATGCAGACGTTTCGCTTATGATCCACATGGCTTCCAGTCATCCTACAGGCGATGCTACCCGGTACAGTGATCGTTTGCGCTAGGGAAATCGAAAACTCAAGGATTTCAAGACGAAGCTGGCCATATCAAGCCTGAAGTCAAGCCAGTCGTGTACCCATGTAGGGTGGGCACTGTTTAGTCTATGCTCCCTAAGGTAAGGAGAAATACGGGAGCAAGAGCAATATGATATCATAGAACGCATAACGGGTCCAACTCTGGGTCTCGGCCGATTGTCTGCGTACCAAACCAAGTATCGAGGAAATTTCGTCTATGCGGTTGACATGAGGGGCAGCGAAATAAGGCAATCGAGGAGAAGAGAGCGAGAGAGGAGAGCGACATACTGCGGCCACATGGTTAATGAAGATGATTGGCAGAAGTCAGCCGGTGCTATTGGGGGGGGGTAAGTACTTGACTCCTAAACTAGACTGTTGAAACCTGAAGGCTTATCCATCCAGCTGGAAATCAAGGATATGCAGTCGGCAACCTGACATCTTCACCACTCATAGTAGGTCTTCGAAGATACAGAACGTCTAAATTTAGAGGTAAATAGTGTCGAGCGAAATCTTTGGAGGCCATATCAACAAGCACTGGTGGGCATTTCAGTGTCGTTAACGCATAAGTAACGATAATTTCAGTTTTTGGCTCATCTGCGTGCGGCGCCGTAGGGGTATACAGGGTGTGGTTCTTATTAACTTCTTCCAAGGAAATCTATCCATATCATGATGACTCTACGTACCGGTAGCTGGGGCAACGGTGCTGCGTGAGTGTAATTCACCATTAAATCGAGCGCAAGTGTGTGTTTCGCAAGAGACACTACAGTTTTTTTTTTTTTTTTATCGCTCTCTGGACAACTGAAGGGTGTTCGCCCAGGAACCTTGCGCAAAATAGACAGCTATCGTAGACACGCTGAGCCGAGCAACGTAGCCGAAGAAGTTCGTCATTCTGGGAATGGTCAACTATGTTGCCCGGCTTTATACTCCAGGTGCAACTTATGTGAAAGCCTCAGCAATGCTCACAAGCAGATGCTGTTTGGAAATGGGGGACGCTGAGAACTACAGATTCCCAGCACTTGTCAAGGCAGCTAAAAATATGCTGATGGTGCATGGCATTTCAATACCGAAGAGAAAGCGATCTGATGTAGATCGCAGCGTCGGACATTGGGGCGATGCTGACCCAGAAAGGAAAGATAGTGGCATTCGCAAGCACGCGCTCTAACGAGTGAGTAAAGGTACCTCAGACGGAAAGAGAGGCTCTCGCAATCAATGCTCATGGTGATCATTTTCGCGCTGGTATCTCTACGCAGTGAATGTTAATTACCGGATGCACTAAGCCGTTGGAAGCCATATTCGGTAATCCACCCCAAGCCTGCCACCCGGATTGAATAAAGGTTAGTCAACTCAGGATTACTCGCCTCGACAGTCAATATTCTCCCGAAAGACGAAATACCTGCTGACTTACATGTCACGCCTCCGAACACCAGTCAAATCAGATCGTGATGAGAGAGTGAAGAGAGTATGTGAACTTTGTGCTGTCAACATCCACGCCGTAAGCTATCACTATTAGGCAAGTTACAAAAGGCGACCAGAGGAAGAGTCGCGTTTTGACTAGTGTCATAAACGTTGTGGCAAGTCAGAGGTAGTTATACAAATTACTTGTTAGACGCGAGGATCAACGGGTGCAGCCGTACTGGAACGTTCAGAGGCAGACCGCTGTGTGTGACGTCGGAAGCGTGGTAATCTTGCTCAGAAGGAACAGAAATGAGTAATACCGGGCAGATTACAGAGCCAAGTCAGTGAAACTTTGGCACACCTTGGACTCAAGGAGTAGTCATAAGACAAAGGCTTTGCTGAGGAGTAAGGTTTGGTTCACGGGGGATAAGACAGAGTGGTTGAAGGGAAGAAGTGAACAACTGTGTCCTTTGTCAAGTGAGCAGGCAGAAGCACCAAGATGCACCTGTGAAGATGAAGCAAATGTCCCCGAGCAGCCGTGGAACTCATGTGTCTGAGACTTTCTATGTGGCCCCACTGCTACGGGTGCAATATTTGTTAGTGTCGGTTGACTGAATAGCAGCGGTTACCCACTGTAGAGATCACCCGCAGCATCATCTGCGCCGGTCGACGATTTCCTACTTTGACAAATCTTGCCTGCCATGGCAGTCCTGAGTGGTGAAGATGGACAATGGCCTGTTTTCAATAGTAGGCCGATTTCGCGTGGGTTCTGCCTGGTTACGCTGTTGGATCAAACAAAATCACGCCGGAGTGGCCAGAGGCGTAACGGGAGGGCAGAGCGGTTAAATGAGGACGCTGAGAAGAATTAGCATACCTCCGAGTCTCAGAGGAAACCGTGGAAGCAGGAAATGTGGAAATTCCTCAGACAGTACAGCAAGCTACCCCGCATTCGTCAACAAAAGTAAGCACCCGCAGAAGCTATCTATTCCACAGGAAATATGCAAAGCAGAAATTACCAGGCATTCAAGTTTCTCAAGAAGCAGGATATTCGCAAAAATGATGCTTTTGCTCATGACAAAAATGGCAAAGGAGCAGAAGTGAAGAGCATATGCGCGACAAACGCGACGGAGAGCATGCGAGTCGGATATCTGTGTAGGTGAGCTGTCATACTACAGGGATCCACATCCCGTAAGGCTGAATGCACGCGTATTACCGGCTAAGTTACACGGAGGTATAAAACGTAGGTGATATGGTGACGCGCTAGCATGGCTGCCAGACCGGTGACGGAAGAAATATTCCGGTTCAAGGCAGTGGAGTTGCCAGATACCAGTCACAGGACATGTCCGGTTCAGAGTGATGGGGAATGTCATTCCGGATCTACTGGAAAGAATGAGGGGACACATGTAGAATGCCGGATCAGGACCGGCCAGACGGAGGTAGAGACGGTTGGACATGTTCATCCGAAGTGCATGCGGGCGAGGAGCGCCGGCGTCCAAGCCATATTTGAAGACTATCGTGGACAGTAATAAGCTGACAGAGGCAAAATGTATATCATTTAGTGTTGCCATATCATAAGTTGTACTATCGCGTCAAGTTTTGTTTCAGCTGTCAGTGCTAGTAATGCTTTATTATATGCTAGTCCAGATGTTTTAAACTTCTGTGATTGCATTTTCTGTACTAGTAATAATCGACAGATTATGTCGTGAGAGTATATATGTTATCATTATACAATTAATCAACCTTCCACGCTTAGAGGGAATGATGTAATTGTTCTGAGCGACCGCTTTTCAGTTAAGGACCTTTTTCGAGCTAAGGACAATAAAGTAGAGGTTTATCTGACGAGTGATCCCGCGTAACTGCAGCGCATTAAGTCTTTTCTCTCTCACATTCTTATCCCTGTTTATAGATTCCATTTCAAACTAAGGCCAATGTCTACGCTGGGAGTGGCTTCCGTTACGTATAACACAGCGGGTTAATAACCACCTGTAGGGCTACATCCTCTGTGTAGCCGTACCATCCTACTCGTAGCTCCATATTACACTCTTCTGTATGTTTACTCCTCGTGTTCACGACTTCGTATCCACCTCTTCCGTTTCCTTCCTCGCGTGTCCACGACTCGCCTGCCGTCTCCGCCATTTCTGGTATATTCCTTGTGTCTAGCTTCCCCGGCGAATGCGTTGTTGTTTGAGTACGCCTCGATGCCACTGGGTTGTAAAATAACATTGAAAAAAATAATTTGAAGAAGGAATACAAGCTTTACTGCGTTGTGAAAATGTCCAGTATGAGGTCCCTACTTGATAAGAGAGCATTGCATTATGCTGTTTGGCCTCTGTAAGCTCGTCTTGACGCGAACGTTGAAACGTAAAGCGAGAAGCGCGAAGATTGTCACTCGCTCCTTTCTCACTCGTCCGGGCCAACATAATGAAATGTAGTTAGGCTATATCGTATTTACATTGCAGATCTTTTGAAACCTATAATGCGTTCCATAAATAAAAAGAACAGCCGAGTCAGTAATATCAAGACGCAATATGTGAAAAGCACAATTCGATAACCTCGAATTTAAACGCGCGCGCGCGCGTGCGTGCGTGTGGTGTGTGTGTGTGTGTGGTGTTGCGGCGGGGCGTGCGTGGCGGCGTGCTGTGGTGTTGCATGCGCGTCCGCGCGTGTGTGTGAACGTCGAATAAACAGCTTCGTTAATCGTTAACATTCGTAACGTAGTAAAACATTTTAATTAAATAGGGCTGATGAGAGTTTTCTATTTCATTTCATCTATTGCACCATCTACTTACGCGTAGGGTAGACCAGCTACCACAGGGTATCCAGGATCGCCAGGGTTTGCGTTGAACGGCGATCCTTCCTTTGGGTGATATCGGTCCAACACACCGTATGGCTCGTAGTTAGATCCGAATAGCGGGTGTGAAAGACCGAGCAGATTTGTTGAGTTGTTCTGAGGGCTTCGAAAACGTGAGTGTGGTCGTCTCCTATCCGATCTATACAAGATGGGCTGGGTTGTTGTTGAACGGAGATTCACCCAGAGGATGGTATCTATTTAAAGGCCCATATTCCCGTCCGTAGTCCGACGAGGATTTTCCCTTCGTGAGCGAGCAATGCAGCAATGCCACCTGTAGATAGAGACCCATGCAGTGTAGTATAAAAGCACATGTATGCTAGTATTGTAGCCAAATAGAATCTCATCCGAAGATGATTTAATGCGGCATAGAACATCACTTACGGCAACTACAAACGTAATTTGTATGGGGTTTTTGTGTACAAAAAACATATCGTAACAATAAAGCTCGATAGATTTAGAGCAATCGCATTGCAACTGTGTTCAGATTATAAATCAAACACGAAGCGTAGCTCACTATGTCTTATAACTAGCGAGCAAACGCATTTAGCTTCACCTACCATAATCACAAAAGTCGCACATGGTATGTACCGTTGCGGGATCATTTTCAATCGCTTTCCTTCTGTACAACCCCTGGAAATATTGCAACACCGCGAAAGCCTAGAAAAGTGAGCACATTTCCGGGCAGATGGGTATTATATACGCTAACATTTTATGAGCATCATATATTTTTCGTTGGGTAACATGTCATCCTGATGTGTGGCGCTATAGTTTCGACGCACTCATATATATGATAGGCAACAATCGCTGTAGTGTGGAAAACGAACAGTGAACTCTCAGCAAAATGTCGTTCACTGAAAATAAAGTTTACGACTAGTTAACGACTAGTTACGACGAATTAGAAGTTTAGTTTTCTGGATCCAAAAGTAGGCCTACGCGCACATGGTACCTGTCAGCACGGTATATAATAGCTACCAGACTACTCGACTGTCCCGGTTCGCTGTCTTTCCGTCATTCAGTCTACACCATACTTTGAATCGAGCAAACCTGCACGTTACCCACACAGTAGAAGAGAGAGAGAGAGAGAGAGAGAGAGAGAGAGAGAGAGAGAGACAGAGAGACAGAAAGATAGATAGATAGATAGCTAGCTAGCTAGCTAGATAGATAGATAGATGAGGGGGTCCATGCCCCCCCCTCTTTGGCATCCGGGAATACTCTCTAATTTTCAGTGGCATCTGGAATACTCCATAATTTTGGGCTGGCATCTGGAATACTAATTTAGACCTGCAGCCAGCCCCGGAATAATACATAAGCAAACAGTAACCAATAGTCGCAATACACAACATTTATTAACCTTTATTCATGCACACTATTATTAGGTAAGCAAATAATACATCTTAATGTCATTGTGTTAGAGCAAATAATTGAAGAAAGTCAGACTTTATGCCCAGAAGTCGGCCAAATCTGCTGTTGAATTTGATTGCCTTCTGTCCTGCTTCTGGGTTTGTGTGATGGCTACTACTGGTAAGTACCAGGGGCGGATCCAAGAATTTCAAAAAGAGGGGGCACAAAATGAGCAATATGTAGTTAAATGTGGGGATGATACGGCGAGAGAGCGGAGCGACCAAGCCTGAGCAGGGCGAAGCGAGTGAGGGTGGCATGGGCGTGTACAGGATTTGGACAAGGGGGGGGGGGGCGGGGCGGGGTGTCTAAACCGCGTCACCCATACTTACGGAGCACGCGAAGGGGGGGTCTGGGGGCCCTCCCCCCGAAAATTTTTAAAATTAGACCGTCTGTTCGCGATCCTACGTGCGGGGACAGTCTCGTTTCCAGTTAGCAGGGTAAATAGATCCAACATTTATAAAAAATGGCAGGAAAAGTTACAAAAAAACACAATCCCCGCATTATAGTACAGTTAT